GGGCCTGAGAGCAAGGCCTGTGYGTTCATTCCCAACGTCACCAGATGAGCTGGGGGTGTAGCTGGTGGAGCAGTGCTACCCTGGGTTCAATACCCAGAACTGCAAAAAATTGTAAAATGAAAATAATGGGAAGCCACGGGAAGGTTTATGGGCTATGGCTTGTAATTTTATTTATTTTATTTGGAATTGAACCCAGGGATCCTTTACCTGAGCCACATCCCTAGACCTTTTTAAATTTTTTATTTGGAGAAAGGCTCTTGCTAAATTGCTTGAGGCCTTGCTGGTCTGCTGAGGCTGGCTTTGAACTTGTGATCCTCCTGCCTGGGCTGGGAGCTTTAAAGGGGCCTCCTGGAGGCTGATGTGTGTGCAGAGGTGGAAGCAGCGTGTCCAGGGCGAGGCTTGTGCACTTGTCCTGCTGAGAGACRGCAGGGCTTGGATTACTGGGAAGATAGAAGGGACAGGGGTGAGGAGGGGTCATGGTCATGTCACATTTCGAAGGTGGAGCTACCTGCGTTGCTGAGGTTTGCGGGTGGGGTGAGAGAGCAGAGGGCTCCAGGAGCACGCCTCCATTTCTGTTGGGAGAACCGGATCCTGAAAGGACAATGCATGTGTTGGAGGAAGGGACAACAGGACCTGGTTCGGGACATGCTCACTGTGAGATGTTCTGGGACACCCCAGGAGAGGCATTGAACTGGCATTTGGGTATGTGAACCCAATTTCCTGGGAGAAGACCAGGCTGTGGATAAAATGAGCTTTATGCCAACAGGTGGACAGGAGGGCAGAGCCGTGGGCAATGGGTCCCTCCAGACTGCAGTCTTCTTTCAGACCCTCCAATGCTTCACCCTGCCTCCCACCTCAGGACCTTGGCACATACCATCCCAGCTGTCTGTTAGTTCTCCCCTCACAATTCCCTGGCTTTTACTGGATCTTCTGAGTCCCAGCTTAAAAATCCCCTCCCTAGTGAATGAAGCCTTGCCTGAATTCCCTGCTACGTCAGGGTCTCTGGTCCAAGCTCTGCCTCACCTCCTCTTTCCCTTCATGCTGTCATCTGAGTTTGTAATTAAGCTTTGGATAGAGGCTGGTTGAACGGAGCTGGATTTCTGGGCAGTGGTGACATTTCGGTCTCAGTGGCTCCCCTGTCTCCCCACTGCTGTGTTGGAGGCTGGGAAGGCTCCTAGGCCAGGGCTTTCGCTAGGAGGCCAGTCACAGGGCAAAGAGAAGGGACAGAGCCGCACACTATGGCCCGTCCCGCCTAACCTGGTGGCCTCTGTGCAGAGGGGTCATGGATTGGCTCCTAAGAGCGCAGTCATTTATTTTGGAATTGAAAAGAGGCCCCCCCAGCCCTGCCCTCCTGGGTGGCCTTAGGGAAGAGGCCCTCTCACCCCCACAGAAACCCTGCTGTGGGTCAGAGCCTGCTCTGGGCCTGTTTGCTTGAAGACGAGAAGCTTCCAGGAGATGCCCACTGTTCCGAGGGACAACCAGGGCTTGGATTATGGGGGTGGGTAGTTGGACTTTATTCAGAATGTCCCGAATCATCCACCCTTCCTAAGGCTGAAGTGCACTTAGGAAGTGCCCTGTGGCACTTGACCGTTTTTGTTTTTGTTTTTGTTGTACTGGGGACTTAAACCCCAGGCCTCACGTGTGCCAAATCAGCTCTCTTACCACAGAGCCACATGCCAGCCCTGTGCTTGGGCAGCTGTAAAGTGGTTCCCTTTATTACAACTGGGTGTCTCAAGGGGAGATCGGGGTGGTAAGAGTTAGGTTCTTGTCCTAGCAATTGGGTGGCCAGGGACGAGGCCAAGGGGAGACCCTTAAAGAGAAGCCTAAGGCTCATCCACACCAGGAGGCAAACATTCCCCCAGCCACCCACCCACGCATCCACCCTGCAGGAACTAGGAGTGGCACCACCATGGCCCCTGGCTTGGTGGGTCTCATAGGCCAGTGGAGGAAAAATTCCCCGTCTTTGCCGGGTGGCACAACTGTGCTGATAGTTCTACCAAGATTATGTTAAGAGTAGTTTCCCCGGGACTGGGCTGTAGCTCAGTGGTGGAGCCCTTGCCTAGCATGCATGAGGCCCTGGGTTCCGTCCCCAGCATGCAACAGACAAATAAAAAAAAAAAAAAGAGTTTCCCAGAGGGGCCCACTGGTGAGCTATTCTCGGGAGAGAGGGACGACCTAGGCGGGCAGAATCAACAGGTGTCCACCAGCTTAGAAGCAGCTCATCCTTACAGGGTGGAGGGGTGGGACGGGAGGTGGGCGTGGACTGGTGCTACCAGTGTTTCTCCTTTTCCATGGTGGAACAGGAGGCTGGTTCCTCTATTTATTTCTTACCCAATTCTAGGGTCTGGACCTTGGATCCCTGCCATTAAGACCCACAATACATTTCCTACCACATACTTGGCTTTCAGTTTCCTGTCTAAAGTCACCCCCTCCTCCATCGAAATTTCTTAGTCAGCTTCTCAGATTTTTGTAGAAGGCACATACTACATGGGTCCTCAGGGCTAGGAAACAAAGAGAGGGATTCCCCCACCTCCCCCCATTTTTAAAATTGGTGCATTATAGTTGTACATACTAACAGGATTTGCTGCCACAGATTCAYACATGCACACAATCTAACAATATAATTTGACCAATATCTCTCCCCAGCACTTCCTTCCTCTGGGCCCCGCCCCCTGATCCCTTTCCTCTACTGATCTCCCTTTGATTTTCATGAGAACCCCAGCCCCCCACCACCAGAAAGAGATTTCTTTAGGTGTTGACAACCAGAAAGTGCTTCTCAAGACTTTGAAACAGGTCTGGGGCCAGGCCCAGGCCCTTGCCATGGAGCTGGAGTCTAGACTAGTGGCTGTCACTCTGGCCCCACATTGGAAGCATCTGCTGARCTTTTGCAAAATACAGACACCTGACACCTAGGTCCCATACCCAAACTTGGTGATTACATTGGTATCTGGTGTGGCTCAGGTATTTGAACTTTCTTCCCCCCTTTTATTAGTGCATTATGGTTTTACATAAAAGTTAGGTTCATTTTGACAAAAATCAACACAGGTGTAGAATTTGATTTATTCGAACTTTTTTTTTGGGGGAGGGGAGGGTACCAGGGATTAAACCCAGGGGCACTCAACCACCGAGCCTCATCCCCAGCCCTATTTTGTATTTTATTTAGAGATGGGATCTCACTGAGTTGCTTAGTGCCCSCCTTTTGCTGAGGCTGGCTTTGAACTTGAGATCYTCTTGTCTTAGCCTACTRAGCTGCTGGGATCACAGGTGTGYGCCACGGTCACCGTGCCYGGCAGCTAGTTGAACATTCTAACAACACCCCTGGTGACTGTAATGTGTAGCCTGATGAAAACCCCTGGTCTAAGTGCAGTCGAGAACGCCGKTCACAGCTGTGCTTCTCTGTGTCCAGGTGATGAGCACAAGGCAGGTGGGGACAGTGCCTTGCTGCATCCCCRGCATCTGCAGCTGTGCCAGGTACCTGGCAGGTACTTAGTAAATACTTGTGGGAGGACGGAGGATGGACAGCTTTGTATGGATCCCCTTTGTGGCTAAGGTGGCTCGCCCTCAGAGCATACATCCTGCTTCTTACCAGCTAAGGGTATAGTCACTGCAGTCAAGCCACCGTTCCCTGGGGGAGCTGAGGACCTTCCCTGCCTAATCTTGTGGTCCTCAACACTGGTGGCACTTCAGATTCACCTGAAGTCTAAATGTCTTTGGACATTCTGGTTCSGTGGGTTTGGATTACAGCTCGGGCCCAGTATGCAAGAGTGTCCCAGGTGATCCTGACGCGCTGCTGAGGACACTGCTCCAGTCTTTTCTACTTCCCTGTTCCCCAACTTCAGAAACATGAAGTCAAGAGACTCCTAGAAGTGATTGGAAGAGTGACACCAGATTCTCGAGTAGTGCTGGCCAGTCATGTCTGTTCATAACACTCGCCTTGGGTGCTTGGTTGAAAATGCTGTTCCTAGGCTGGGGCTCAATGGTAGAGCACTTGTTAGCATGCAYGAGGCCCTGGGTTCAATCCCCAGCACAATAAGATMAAAATAAATATCCCTCCAAACCAAAAGTACGAGTTCTTGAGCCTGTAATCCAAATTTATGGACCCAGAAACTCAGGGAGGGACCTGGGACTTCATGTGGTAAACAAGCATCCAGGTGTCCTGGTTCCCTGCCAGCACAGCYTGCAAGGGCACACACTCCCTGCTCTGGCGCCCACGCACCAGACCACTTCCAGCTCTTGCTCTGCTCCTGCCTCTCACTGCCAGACACTCCCCGTCTTCATCAGTCAGTCTCCTTCAATGTCACTTCCCTACTGAGCCCTTCCTGTCACCAAGGGACTGAATGAAGCCGCCCCAGCCCACAGTCTTTATCCTATTAGCCTGGCACCCAAAGGGGAGGGGGTGACAACCTCTGGCTCCTTATCTTCTTCAGCCTTGCCCACTCCCAGAAACCAAYGCAACAATGGCTGGTCCATGCTGGGGCCCAGCACCTGGCACTGGTAGGTGGCCAGAAGTAGGGACTGCAAAGTGGTATGAGCTTCAGAGCATCTGAGCCTTTCCCAGCCCCTGGGACATGCAGTCAGGGGCAGGCAATCGTGCACAGCTATGGGTACACAGGAGCACCTGGGGACAAGAGTGTACAATAGAGGGGAGTGGGTGCCCACCTCCAAAGACAGAAAGCAAAAAGTCAGGGGCAGGCATCAGCGCAAAAGCGCAAGTGGCAGCAGGTTTCTTCCCTAGACCGTGGGTTGGGCAGGGCGCGGCGCGCTCACCCAGGGAAGGTGGGAGGCAGCGACCGCCCCAGCTGCGGGCGGTGGCCCAGGCCAGTGGCCAAGCGCAGTGCCCCGAGTGCGGCCAGCGAGCGGCCTCCTTCCTCCCGGCTCCGGCAGCCGGGCCGCCCCTCCCCCCCCTGCCCCGCGTGGCGGCCCCGCCCCCGCCGGCCGGCCGCTCTGTCCCCGCCTCCCCGCCCCCTCCGCGGGCGGCAACAGGTGCCTCCCGGAGCAGGAAGCTCGCGCCGCCGCCGCTCAGCTCCCCGGCGCGACCAGGACCCGCTGCGCCACGCGCGCCATCCCCGGACCCGGCGCTTGCCGCGAGGAKCGGGACCCCGCCGTAGGACCTCCTCGCCCCCGCGTCCTGCGGCCGTCGCCACCCGCGGCCAGGGCCCCGGAGCCAGCGCGCCTGCCTCCGCCCCAGCCCCGCGACCCTCCGCCTTCCCGAGCGAGCGCCATGGACGCCCCGGGGCCACAGCCCGACCCCGACGGCGGGGACGCCCCAGGCCACGAGCCCGGGGGCAGTCCCCAGGACGAGTTCGACTTCTCCATCCTCTTCGACTATGACTATCTGAATCCCATCCCAGGTCGGTGGAGGCTCCCCCGCCGCCCCGAGCCCSGGCGGGGCGCGAGCCTGGGGAGGGGACACGGCCTCTCTGCTCCACGCGCCTCACTTCCTCGGAGGCCTGGAGCCGGGGGTGCCCCTACCCAGGTGAGAGGGAGGGGAGGCGGCGACAGTGGCTGCGCCACCCTTAGGGGGCGGTAGGCTCACTCGTGTCCCGTAGGGGCACAGTTTCCAATTACTTGTGACGTCGACCCGAGGGTCGCTGCTCGAAAAGCAAAAGATGGCAGATCCCCAGGCTGGGGGACTCTGTTGGCCTAGAGCCCGGCAGTGGGTCCTACTGGAAGTGATTTAGCTGCCTCTGGAGGGAGGAGGTGAGGGAGCCAGGACTGGAGTTAGGGGGAGGCTGGGGAAGGAGCTCTCGAGCAGCGAGGGACCCCTGGGCTTCTGTGAGACTGTGCCCCACCACTTCCCCGACCAGCGTGGTGTTGGGGACTTTGTGTTGAAACTAAGGAAGAGGCTGGCTGTCTGCGCTGGAAGGTGGTTGWCTTCGGTGGTGTGAGGCGGCCCATTTCCTCTCCGGGCTCTGCTGCTGCTTTTGCCAATCGCCCCCAAGARGTCCATTCTGCGCTTTGTGAGGTGGTCTTCCCCGCCCGGTCGGAATGGCTGGGGGCCTGGCGGGCAGCAGGAGTGTGGATTCAGGAGGACAGTCTACATTTCTGCCTAAACCCCTGCATTCTGTACCTGCAAGTGCCCTGAGTCTTTGGGGGCTGGGGACTGGGAACTCCCCCAGGCTGGGCTGCAGGCTCTGGTCTTGGGGGCCTTTCACCAGGTCACAGGAGCCTTCATCAGAAGGAGGAGAAAGAAAAGGTGTCACCCTTGGCCTCTCACTATTTTTCTGGTTAGCAAGTTGTCTTGGAAGAAACACACACACACACACACACACACACACACACACACCAAAAAAAAAAAAAAAAAAAAAAACCAAAAAACAAAAACCCAAAACCCCAAGTAAGGCTTCCTGATTTTAGTGCTTGTTACCAGCCCCAGGGTGCGGGCAAGTAACTTCCAGATGTGCTGGGGGCCTGGCCCATCGAAAGCGCTTGTGTTTCCCTGCTGGGGAAATAAGCCCCTGTATGTGTTTGGTTTTTTTATGGGGGGGGGGGCTTAGTGGCTCCCTGGTTCCCAGAGCCTCTGTTAGGCAGCTGGATAGAGAAGTTTTTACTTGCCACCTGTGTCCTCCCAGGCCACCTTTGAGGAGGGTCTGGTCTCTGACTGTGGGTATCACTCTCCCTTGGATCCCCGGAGATGGCAATTAGTAACAATTTTGTGCTTTGACTGGAGATGGAAACAATCAGGCAGCAGAGGAGACCCAGGCTCTGCAGCTGTAATCTGGAGGACATCCTCTGCTTTGAAAAGATACAATTAACAATCTGGGAAGGATCCATGTTAACAGTTAACATCGGTGGTCTTTCTGTTCATTAAGATTAAAGCCATGTTTTGCAGGGAGTTAATACTTATACCCCTCTGGGATGCACAATCAGCTAGCTTTTTTTTTTTTTTTGAGGGGTGGGGTTAGGGAGAGGGGGAGGATTTCCGGGGAAATAGTTTCCAAGCCAAATCTGGTGGGAGGTACTTTTTATAGTTTTTCTTGGCAAGTGGTGTTTGGTGGCCACCAGATGGGTATCTTAATGACCACAGTGAAAGCCCTGGAATCTTTTTTTTTTTTTTTTCTAAAATAATAAACTTTATTTTTTGGAACAGTTTCAGATTTACAGAAATGTTGTGAAGCTACCACAGAACCCCCCACCYGCCCAGGACCGGGTTTCCTCATATTGTTAACATCTCACATTAATATGGTACATTTGTTATAATTCATGAACCCATATCGATGCATTATTATTGAAGTCTATACTTTTTTAGATTCAGATGTTCTTTTTTTTTTTTTTCTTTAAAGACCTTGTCAGTTCTGAGGAGTATTGGTTAAGTATATTGTAGACTGTCCCTTAATTTTTTTAAAAAAACTATTTTTTCTCTTGATTAGAATAAGGSTGTGTGATATCTAGGAAGAAGGCCACTAAGGTTAAGTGCTTTCTCACTGCACACATCACTGTCGATAGTTTGTCACCGTTGATGTTGACTTGATCGCCTGGCAGAGGGTACGTTGGTCGGGTTTCTGCTCTTCAGTGACTCCTTTGGAAGGCAGTTCTGTGTGGAGCCCGCAAAGTCGAAGTTCAGTTTTGCTGTGCGTCTGTTAAATGATGCCTCTTTGCTGCAGGGAGCTAGGACAGCAGAGTCAGCCCCCAGGAACAGAAGGGACATTGTGAGCTTTGAGAGGCCAAGATGAGTCGTCCCAGACGTGGGTGGGGCTCTGGCTGTCACATTTCTGAGCTTCTGCATGACGGACGTCTCCAAGAGCCAAAGCCAACCTTGTCAGCTTGGTCCCGGATGGGAGCGCCCTGGTGATGTGCGCTACCTCCTAACCTGGAGTGTTGGCCCTAACACTGGGCTGGGCCTGGGGGGAGAAGGACCACCGAGGGGCCAGGCACCACCATCAAGAACTCAGGGAAGTTTTAGGATGTCAGATCCCATTTTATGGRACTAGTGTGTGGTGGACCTGGATCAGCCCAGTTAATATCCCTGGGACCCTAGCAGGCAGGCACTGCTTCCATCCCCATTTTACAGAGGAGGRTGAGAAGGCACAGAGAGGTAAAGTGATCTTCTCAAGAAAGCACAGCTGGTAAACGGCAGAGCTCAGGTCTGAGCATGCTCCAGAGCTTGGTCTCAGAACTCTAGGAGGCTCCTCACTGCTCCATTGATAAGAGGTACATGCATAGCCATTGGCCAGGCCCCTGGGATCATGGCAAGGGTGGACATGTAAACACGAGCAGGGTGTTCTTGAGTTAGTCATTTGACAGCTCTGGATCTCTGTTTGCTTATGTGTAAAGTGGTTGAAATCATAGTCCTTACCTTAAAGGATCATGGCCCACCTAGAGTGGGTTAATTCATTTAAATCAGCACAAGGTGTGATTCATCACCAGCATTTTGTTAAACTCTTGCTTTTATTAATAGAGGTGCTCAACTAATGAGAGCCATTATTCAGTTACTCACCCAACCAACTGTTAAGCATGGATCATGCTAGGTCTTGGGAATACCATGGACAATAAGACCTCATGCCTTAAAATGTGCCTGTTCTTTTCCTGTGTCTGATTGCATTGTCAGATGCCTCCAGGAGGAGGTTGTCCGTCAGCGTTGGTTTAGCATTGAGGTGCACACGTTTACTTATGTTGAGGAGGTAACCATCCATTCTTATTTCCTTGGGAGTTTTGTTAGGAATGCGAGTTGAATCACATCAAAGGCTGTTTAGCATCTATGGGAAATAGGATTTTATTCTTCTGAGACCTGTTACCGTATTGGCTTATATTAATCAATTGCCTAATATTGAAACATTCTTGACACAAACTCCCTTGGTGACTTTGTATTGTTTTTTTTGAAAAGCGGTGACATCTGTTGGTAATAGTTAAGTGTTTTTTCTTCCAGCAATATTCACCTTGAGTGCCTTTTTTCCTGTGCAGTCAAGCTTTAGGTTTTGTTCCTTCTCTAGGCTCGGGAGCAACTTGTGTATCCCGAGCAGAACAGTCTTTAACACTGTGCCAGAGTCCTCTGTGGAACTTCTGGTACTGGTGCTTTTTTGTGGGCTTGTTTCTGGGTGACTTTCTCTGTTGAGTCTGTGAGGATTGGGCTGTTTACACTTTCCATTTCTATTGGAGTCAGTTTTGGTAAACTATTTTTTCTAAGAAATGATCCATTTCATCTATCTAGGCTTTCAAACTTGACTAGAGATGTCAAGTGCATGCACATCTTTTTACTAGTGGAAGGGGCAGCCAGGCATATCGTGTGTGTGTGTGTGTGTGTGTGTGTGTGTGTGTGTGTACGTATGCATGTGTGTGCTATGGCATCCTGACTTCTGCAGGTCCCACCCTGGAGGGGACGTGTTGTTGTCGAACACTTGAGGATTTGGATTTCTTGTGCATGCTTGGAATTTGGTGGACTCTCACTTCTCCCAACTCATAATACTTTGAGGGAGACAGATGGGTACTGGGAATCCTGATCACCTCCAGAACTGTGGGATCCCCGTGTGCTGCCTGGCCATGGATGTGGTAGGGTGCTCGTCTCTGGTTTGCCCTAATAGGTCTGCTGCGTCCCTCCTTCCAGTCCTGGGAAGTTAGGCCTCTGGCRCCAGCCTTGCCGTTCCCCGAGAGGGCAGACTCTTCCCGACCACTGCTTATTGTTTTGGTGGGGGTGGCAGCCCTTTGACAAAGCTGCGGGTGCTACTCAGGCACACACCTGTGAGTGTGCACACTCTAAGGACTGTAGGTGCACRCAGCATGCACGAGCCCGTGGGGGCRCCTCTGCATCCTCCCCGAGTGCTGCCCYCCACGTGTGCCTTGCACCCCATCTCAGGGGCAGTTGCAGACCCTCTGGCCCGCCCCCTAGTGTCGACAGCACTTCGCCTGAGGAACACCTGCTCTCAGCCCTGTCACAGGGGACAATTAAAACCTCATTCTTTCAGCAAACACACTGAATGCTGGTTTCGTGCCAGGCCCCGTGGGTGTGGAGACAAATGAGATGTGGTCCCTGCCCTTGCCTGGCCCCCGGGCCAACGTGGGGCACAGCCTGGTAAACAAATAGGGACAAATGAGGTGCTGTGATACAGTAACTGGTTTTTTTGGTGCTTGCTAAAAATAGGGCTGCACGCCAAGCAGGCAGGTTCTCTGAACACACGTGACGCACACGGTGCTGTCGGTGTGGTGTTGGGCCCAGGCCTTAGTGAGCCTGTCTCCAGGTGCAGCTGGGAGGTGAGACGAGGCTGGACTTGAGCCGAGGCCTTGTCAGGGAGCAGAGGACCTGGGCATAGAGCTGCCGCCATCCTCTGYTCTGCTCAACACATGTCACTTGAGCTCCCAAATTAAAGGCCCTCTGTCCCTTAGGGGCCTTGGCTTTGGATTGGGAGCAGAGGCTGTG